AAATCCTGGACCGTCACAACTGGTGTTTTCTCTGTGGCTCCGCGAGAAATGTCCTGGGCTGAATGGATGCTTTCCAGGTGCTCTAAACCATTTAGCTTCCATGCTATTCTTGTGATGCCAGTTTTAGACGCCTCTCGTGAGGCCGGTTGTTTCTTTTTTTTTTTGGACTCTTTGTTGCCTGAGGATGCGCTCATCCTTTTTTTGAGCTCAGAGGCTCCAACCAGCAGTGGCCTCCTCTCTGCGCTAATCTTCCTGACATTTTGTCTAAGCAAGACTTTCTCCGTGTTCATCTGCTTCAGTTTTACGTTTGTCTACTGAATATTCCTGTATAACAAACCGGAATGTGATACAGATTGAGCAGAGGTAGGTATACAGTATACGCACCTTGCCAGCTTGAGAATTGGCAAAGTTACACTGGAATTGTTTGGAAGAATAGCATTTTGATAAGCAGAGAAAAGTAAATTTCGCAATGTCTCCAAAAATAGAATTCGAACCTCGTTGGAAAGAAAAGCCTACTAAATGTGTGATCTCTCTGCCCTCACCTATGACGCAGAAAATGTAACTCTGACCAAAATATTTGCATGAATACTGATAAAATGAAACGCTTGATGCTGAGTAGAACTCCCAAAGATGAAATCCGAAACAAGACATTCGTAGGACGACAGATATAGATGATGTTCTGGCATCAATATAGCAAAGTGTAATTATTATTGGGCGCAGAATCCCGGGAAAATCAATGATGACAGGTGTGACTAAAAAAAATTTTGAGCGGAAACAAAGCCGAGATCAGGCACAAACTAGATGAGCTGACGCTAGTCAGGAAATAGATAGAATATGTGGCGGTACAGGAAGTCCATTCACGTCCACGGCACAAGCCGAATGAATTTCACTCGGATTGAACCACAGGAAAATAGTAATATGAATTTTAAGCACGAAAATATTTAAAGATATAAATTCTAAAGCCTGGAATTGCTGGGAATTATAAGGCAAATTCTGAACCTCTGCAATGCTTTATAATTTGCCTAATTCGAATCGTTGACAGTTGTCACCAGTGTTATTATATGATCAGTTAGTATGGGGTAAAAACTTTTCTTTCAATCTGTCTTCAAGGGAAGTTGATATATTTTATAGTTTCTCTACAATTAAGTGTGAACAAAAATTCCAGAAGGCCCATGCAGCTATTTCGGGTAAGGGAATGGACTTAAATTTGATAAGTCTTTCCTATTATTTATCTCTATTTCTATTTGTGGCGCCCTCTTGTTGTATTCGACCCAATAACGGACCCTTGTGAATATGCCGCTTTATCTCAGTTACAGGCTACAGTGTAAGAGGGCCCTATTCCGGAGACTATTGATTTTTTACGGAAAAATTGTATCATTTGTACTAGTAAAATATCTCTTGTAGCGTAAACTATTTTTGATTCTCCATTTTTTTATCATGATTTCCTATCCGAGTCATCTGTTTCTTCCCTTGCCACTGAATTTTGGGCTAATTTATCCTTACTGTGTTGTGTGGCGCCCTCTTATTGTATACGGCTCTACTAATTTACTATGGAAAAAGGTCACTTTATCCCATATAGTAGGCCAAAGAAGCTTTACTATTGTATATTTCTTCGCACTGATAATCGATATTCCACGTGACGCTTTAATTACCTAACTGAACAAGGAAATAGAGGTCACTTCAATTTAACTTAAAACATTTTTGCTGTTACTTACTTTATTTTTTCCATAGCTACTTGTACAGTAGCCCTTAGAGCCAAATTATGGAGCAACTGGTAAGTGTCTGGTTGCTACCTAGCAGTTACTTTCTATTCTCTAGTGCATAGAAAGTACCTGCCAGGTAACAACCAGACGTTCACCAGTCAGTCCATAATTTGGCCCTTAATCTACTAGTCCAGGAGGCAGTGAAATTTTTTAGCACTTATTTTCCCAGTTGGTATCTTTCCAATGGTTTGTTCTCCTGGTGATACAAAACAAGAATTTTTGAGTCTGGCTAAAATTTTCGGATGGGTTCACAAGATCACTGAAAAATACAAGTAGGTACGCTTATTTTCCCAGACATAAATATTACACATTTACTACAATAAAACATAAAGTACCTATATGAAAATAGCAATTTGGCTTATCTCAGATAGTGGAAGTGAGTGTGACTGAAAATTTTCGGGTCTTCAATTTTTCACTTGCCAGACATATTATCCATAGTCACAGATTAGCCGGACTATTTTTTTACGTAACTTCAGTATACTTCTCATTAGTAGACCTATTTTTATCACTGAGAAAAAAAAGGACCGCCCATTCGTAAGCTTTAACGCATTTTGCGCTTCAACCCATCGGAAAACCCCCCCTAAAAATATATGTATTTTGCTTAGAATTACTAACCCTACAATTCTATCCATATTGTCTGACTGGGAAAATAAGTACCGAAAATCGTCACTGCCTCCTAGACTATACTGAAAATAGTAGATAAAGTACCTAGTACTTTAACCGCAAGGGTAGATTAAATGATACTTTAACAGAAACGATAGATCAAGACGTTTATTTTGTCAAAAATATATACCTATTTTGTTTTTTATATGTGAGTTCGGCTTGCTCACTCCGTGCACTCCGAGTGACTCCATTAGCTCTGTTCACTCCACTCTAACTCCGTGCTGAATTGCCGAACCCAGCTTTATTTGTCATAGTTTGTCAAACGAATTTCTACTTATGCAAAAGTATTCGACTCAAATAATTTCTGATTATTTTTGATACTACAGGCGTCCATAATTAGGCTATGAAAAAAAACTTGGTTTACTTACACACGACGATAAAATGCCATTATCGTCTCCCGGAATTAATTCACTCGCGATTCCGCTCGTCAATTAACTTTTCCGGTCATCGATAAACAATCATTTTATTGTCTTGTATAAAAAATAACTATTATTTATTTGACAATTTCAACTGGCAACAGCCTAATTTTTACAATGATTATAATAATACTTAAAAATAATAACAAATTATAAATAAAAAATACAAGAAACTATTCTAAGTTAAAAGACAACAAAACAGATTACAGAGTAAAACGAAAAATTCATATAATATTAACCTAGTATAAAACTAAAACACATGCGATAGCAATATCACAATGACAGTCATATTTGTTGCAATGACGCAGTAAATATGTCATGTGTATTTGTATATCTCGTTGGCATAAGACATAGCCCGATTATTAATCGTATGTTGGCCATATATGAGGTGCGATGTGAAATTTTGGCGATGTCTCTCCAACGAAAAACAGTGCACATCTCCAAGCTTCCTAGTTGCGACATTTAAGTTTACAGCTAAGAGCAGCTCTATACTCTAATGTTTCCACTTATATATTCTGTGAAAGATGATTATAGTTTATAAAATCTGATGGTATTCCCAGTGTCTCAGTTTGTAACCTTTGTAGTAGGTATCTCAAGAATTTCTTCTGTTCGCGTTCAATTGACTCGATATAAATTTTATAATGTGGTGACCATACACAGCTATTATTTTCTCTAATGATACATATAGGCACTTCAGAGCAGAAACTTCTTAAAATTCCTTTTGATAAAACCTAACATTTCCTATGCAGTTCAGAAAATGACAATTTTGCATCGAGTATAACACTTAGGCCACGAATAGTTGAAAGATTTCCAATTACATCATCATTTATGCAATAGGTTGGGAGAATTTTTTCTAGAAAACTGAATATATTCGCATTTTGTGTTATTTAATATCATTTCATTCTTAACACACCACGCGCGAAACCTCAGAAAATCATATATCCTGCATTCCTCTGTCTGGGCTTTCTTGATTTATACTCTTGAAAATTTCAAGTCATATGATGAAAATTTGACATGATGGAAGCAAGACCCTATGCCATTATTAAATAAGCAAAACAGGAGTGGTGCAAGCAAGATGATCCCCCTGAGGCACCCCAGATGTGACACTAACAATCTCAGAGTGAAATTACTTCTTTACAATCTGGCTCCTGCCTACAAAATAAGAATGCAGCCACTGATGAAGCGAACCGCATACACCATTTACAGAAAGTTTATGCATCAATAGTGTATGACTCATTCTGTCGAAGACCTTGGAGAAGTCAGTATAGACAGAATTTACAAACTGGTCAGCCTCCAAAGCCCTCGGGTATTATTATATTTTTAAATTTTCCAGTTAAAAAATCATTCACCAGTGATTCAAATATCTTTGAAAAATGAAATAATTGTGTTATAGGGAAATTTTTTTGGCCCACAGTGTAAAGTTGCTTCTCCATAAAATACCCATAAATAATTCTGCCTATATATAGAAATCGACCTTGAGACAAAATTTTACATATAAAATTATTTGTTTTTTTGTGAGATAGGTACCCCTTACCCTTACATGAAGCAAATTTTCCCCAAACAAAAGGAAAAATGTTGGGATGACTTTCCACATTCACAATCGATTCATAAATATCGAATCCAATCTAACTAAAGGGTCATAACGGAAAATTTTATATTCCAAATGAATACTCACCTGAATATATTCTGGGAATGTCAGAGAATGAAACTAAGTAGAAATAGGAGAGATTAACCATGAAGCCCTACAAAATGCTACAAAAAGCTACATGTCCAAAATTTGAAAGAATTACGTTTGGTGTTTTGGAGCTTGACCTGTCTATCGCTTGACCCATATATTAATAAATAAATACATAAACGAACCTATATTTAACCTAATTACTACCTATTGTATCTAAAGAATTTATCGATGACATACGTATCTCCTTTTTGGGAAATTTCAGGTGTTTAATAACAGACCAGACTAGCTAGCCCTGGCACAGATATCTGTTTAAATAAGTCAGGGGTCGCTTGGGCTCCGATATACAAGTTCGATATTGCTGATTGATTGTCACCATGACAACAGAGTTGCATGTAAAATATGTCTATTAAACAAACCTATTTATTTTATACCAAACTAATGACAAAACATTCTCTGAAGGGGATCCTTAAAATGTATATAGCCAGTCAATATCGAACCCCACTGATGATCTACACAGTTTCGCAGGGGATAATAAAATTAAATGTAAAACTTTTTAAAGTGAAACATTTTCAGTCATTAGTGGTTAATTGTGGCTGATTGTGAAATTTGTGAAACTGGATTGCTGTTGAATTAGAATTAGATGCTATTGTGATAAGGTAAATACCTAAGTTGATTAATTTTAATGCCTGGAAAAAAAGCTGATTTGATTATTATATTTTTATTTTCGTGACTATGACAATATCAAAGTATGCGGTTCTGAAGGTTTTTCCGGAAAAGATAAATGAGTGCGATATACAGCAGATACATTAGAGAAACTCACTTTACTCTCAAAATTTTTATTGGACTTACAATTTTACTTTTTAATTCTGGGTTTCTTATTATCGAGAACTGAATAGAACTCAAATTTTGACTTGCGTCTTCCCCAGAATTTGAAAAATTATGGTTGATTGCAATCAAAACAAAGAAACTGCGACACAAAACCATCTTTAATAATAGACTCTTCCTAGTCTTAAATTTCAAACATATCCGTATCCTCATGGATTTGCGCATGGGCAGAACAGATACGATAGTTTCGTTGTCCGTATCGTCACGGATCTTACCTCGTATCCATATTCGAAAACGTATCTCAACCATCTGACACTACACTGAGAAAAGTCCCAGGAGAAAATTCTTTGCTGTTTTTTTTTTAGCTGTTACAGTGGAAAATGTTTTAGAGGTAGCAATGTTATTTTGCTTCTACAGAAAAGACCACTTTGCTGAAACTACTTTATTGAAACTGCAAAGATATTTATTATTCCAAAACCAAACTTTGCTGTTATAGCAAAATTAAAATTTTATGAAAATATTTCTGCTTCTCCGAAATAGAACTTTTCTAAGATAGATAGATACTTTAGTGTTGCAGCAAAAAAAAATTCCTGTAATTTTTGTTATTGTTACAGTAATGTTTTTTGCTACCCTAGCCAAATAACTTAACTAAAAATACCGTTCGGACATTTCCGTGATTTCTTCGGGTCCAAAAATAACCGATAAAATATGTTTCGTGTTCATTTTGTTCCATTTTAGTAGCTAACGCCGTACGGTGTGGATCGTGGATGCTGTCGAGTCAAGTCGAGTGTCGGTCGCTGGGAATCTTTTTGGAAATGGTGCCAGCGCATCCATCAAAACTAGCAGAAACAACTCTAGCGCCAAACTTTTCATTAATTGACATTATTTCAGATCAGGTAATGAAAGTTTAGGGGTTTAAATAGAGTTTGTTTATCTCCTGGTTTTGTTATGATGGACGCGCTACTACATATTTCCAAAGATTTCCAGCAAAATATTTTTGCTATTGGTGAGACAAATAACTTCCCATGGCTAATAAAACACTTGGCTGATTCTGGCAAGAAATTTTTTGTTCTCAGACAAACGCTTTCCTATTTCAGGAAGCATTTCTAATAACAACAACAAATATCTTTTCTGTCTTAGCAATCTACTTTTCAATAGCAAAAAAAGATGTTTTTGACAGTATATAACCTCTTTTCTAGGACAGCATAGTTACTTTCCTACGACAGTAAAGTAGCTTTTCTATGCCAGCAAAGTGACCTTGTAGAAACTGTGAGTAAATTCTTTATAAAGTCACTTTGCTACCGCAAATAAACGGTGCCAGTAAAGTTATCTTTTCGGCGGTAGTAAAGATCTTGGCTGTCCCCTATGTAGCCAAAATTTTTGGCTACGGCAGCAGAAAAATTAGCTATGACAATGAAAAAATTTTCTCAGTGTATTGAGAGATCTTCCTGTCAGCTATCACTAAAATAACTTTAAACAACACAAACACAGTAGGTACTATAGATAATAATGGTAAGTATGGTCATGCTTATAGAAGGAGTTTTAGGCAGTTAATGTAAATGGATACGTTTACAGATGCGGATACGGATACGAAGAAAAATGTATGGTTTTTAAGTGTCTAATATATGAAACGCAATTTGTTTATGTATTTTTTTTTGTGGTTCAAGAAGTAGGTTTTGTATAGGAAGCTTCTACACAGTATAACAATGTTGTCCAAGGAAACAGGTTTTGTCCGCACTGGAATATTTTTGAGCTTTTTTTAATTCAAAACTGGATTACTGAGGGAGGAAATCTATTTGTTCTAATAAATGTTTCGTGATACCGGAGAACGTCTGCTCTACTACATTCCTAATTCCGGGCAAGAACTTGATGCTTCTAGAACTGTTTTAGAAGCATCCAGTTCTTATCCGGAAGCAGAAATGTTTTATTAGCTAATGAAAGCTTGGGAACGCTGCTCTCCTGTTCCAAAAATAATGATCTTGGTTGTATGATCGGAGTCGGATCGGAAGAATGCATGATAGATGTGTCCCGGCCTTTCGGTGTGTTAATCTCTGAACGTCATCTGTAACTTTAGTTCTCCTACGGATCTTTTCGTTGTGGATTCGGTCTCGCAACGTCACCCCCAGCATAGCTCTTTCCATGGCTCGTTGGGTAACTCTTATATTGTTGATTATCTTTTGTGTCAATGTTAGTGTTTCGGAGCCGTATATCAGTACTGGGAGTATGCACGGGTCACTGGTTTGCGTTTTGGGCACACTGGGATGTCTGATTTGAATACATGTTCCAACCGACCTAGTCCTATTCTTCGGCTAAACTCAGGTTTGGCTATCTCTTCCGATTCGAATTTCATGTCCTAGATATTAATACGACGTTACGTGTTGACATAGCCTTTAAATATTTCAAAGATTGCATCCACCATGAGCCATTTATCGTTACTTCAATTTTTCAAAATCATTCTCAGAACTATTGTGCTGACATTCCTATGTTTCCAGAATAAGGTCGTTCAATCAAATTTCATTAGCCCGGTTTTTCACATTTTCATGGAGTATTACTCACATATAGCACGTAGAAAAAATTTCAGCTTAATTGGATAAATATTGAAAGAATTACGCGTTTTTTAATATTAAAACACTTTTGCCTCGGAAATTCATTGCTGTGACGTCATAGCATCTCTCGAGTCGAGACCGGCTAAAGGCCGTCACACACGATTTTGCATAACGCAATGTCAACTGATCTTCTACTGACAGTTTGGCACACAGTTTGCGGAACTATGCAATATTTATAATTTTTCGTTTTTTATGCTACTTCCATAATAATTGTGCTCATAAAATATTGAAACTCAGGGAATTATTCAAATATACGAAATGTGATTCGAAAGAAAAACATCCAGTTTCGACTACCAGAAACGATGCTAAACCAAAACTTGTCAAAACAATGCCCGTATTGTCGAAGTGACTGGCGTACCAGCAACACAAGGACCAACGTGAGAGATGCGGTGACGTCACCGCGTGTTTCAAATTTGGAGTATTTTGATAATTTATTTAAATATGAACAAGGGCTCAGAAAACTAAGAAATTTTGCATAACTGCTAAATTCAACACGCTCTTTTAGAATATGTAATAAAAAAAAATATGCTGTACGAGCCTATTCAACTCAAATGAAAAGGCAAAATTTTACCTTCAAGTTCCCCCAAACATTTGAGGGCCTCATCGGACTCGAAAACCCAATCCAAATTGGACCTGCCAGAGTAGTAATAACAGTCATTACTTTTTACTAAAAACGTCATCCTCCCAATTGAATACTACGGAACGATCAAACTCAATTCTATTCCATCCTACACCGTTTCCCGAGTACGGCTTCCAGTAAAAGAAGCCCAGGATACGATCCTTCTACCAAAACAAGAACTTCAGGGTGCACAAATTAACGAAACACTTACATCTGCTTGTAATCAACTCATCGCTTGGAGTGAAATTGTCAACACAATCGACAAAGAACTTCAGATAGCTCTGACAAGTCCAGTCATTAGCACGCAGTTGGACCTTGATCAGTTTCATATCTACACCACGGATATAATTTCTCAAGAATCTCCATCAGCGCATGGCAAGATTCCTGAAATCAGAACTAATCACGTCAATTCAGAGGAAAAAAAGGCAGTACACAATTTATGTAGGAAGTATGCAGACATTTTCCATTATCCAGACATAACCCTAACCTTTACAAACCAGATCAAACACCATAATAAAACAAAAGATGAGATTCCAGTGTACACCAAGTCATATAGATATCCACATATCCATAAAGAGGAAGTGAAAAATCAGATATCTTACATGTTGGATCAAGGAATTATCAGACCAAGCCAGTAACCTTAGTCTTCCCCGATATGGATAGTTCCAAAAAAACCAGACGCTTCCGGAAAAATAAAATGGCGGATAGTAGTGGACTATAAGAAAGTAAACGAGAAAACTATCAACGATAAATACACAATTTCAAACATAACAGACATCTTGGACAAACTTGGAAGATGCCAGTACTTCACGACCTTGGATCTGGCAAGTGGTTTCTACCACATTGAAATGGCTAAAGAATATTATATGCAAAACTGCTTTCAATATCGTAAATGGCCATTACGAGTCCGGATGCCATTTGGCCTAATAACGCTCCAGCTACGTTCCAGAGGGTAATGTATAACCTAAATTTCCCAGTTATAACACCAGCTAGCTCAAAAATATACTGATAAAGAAAGTAGTACTTACTAACATGGGTCTCTTGGACCGAGGCATTGTTCTCAGCAGAAGGAATCAATAAAAGTCAGGTTCAAAACAAAGGACAATATTTAATTACTAAACCTATGTAGCTTTGGGCAATAGATAACAGGTAACAGTTGAAATGTAAATAAATGTATAACAATAATAATCGACATCAAAATACTACACTAAATAATAAAGTCGTGTTCACATAAGGTCAACGTATTGATTACATACGGGCAATTAATCAATTACGCTAGACATTTAAACTTTAATTATAAATATGCAAAATCATCCCCTAAAATACCATGGTATACCAGGCGCAAGACGATTATATTTATAGCATGACAATGCCAAGAAAATATGTAACTAGATATATAATAAAACACTCTACCTTAGTAACATTCAACTCTTGAGCATCATTCTAATTATTATGTAAGAAATAAAATAGAGCAGTTATACATTACTCAATCCTGCTGGTAAAATGAAACTGCACCAGCCTGGAAGGATGAGAAACGTCTAGAAGCTACATCAGCTGCTACTGCTACCCATTAGCTACGTGCATTGTGCACCAAACACTAGACTTG